GAAGGAAGGAAGGAAGGAAGGAAGGAAGGAAGGAAGGAAGGAAGGAAAGTAGGTTGGCTAGTTTAAATATTTTGGATTTTATGAAAGAGATATTGGGCAAGTTGGTGTGGAAATGATAAAACTGAATGCCCTAGGGCTTCAATAACTACTAGTAAAGTCAGGTTACTATACTTCATATAAAAGTAGCCCTGGAAAGATAGTTAGTTGGTGTTCATATAGTAGAAAGTAGAATGTTTAAGAAAGGATAAAAGGGTATGGAGATGGCTCAGCAGGAAAGGATGCTTGCTGTCAAGCTTACACCCAGGTCAAACATGGAAACAGAGAACCAACTGCTGTGGGCTGCCCTCTAACTTACAACATGAGCACTATGGCTTACACATATGAACACATATACATAATTTCTTAAAAATTGTAAAACTAAAGGTTTGAAATAATGGCAAAGAATTAGCAAGTGGGGCATAGAAGATGCCTGTAATCCTGACATTTGGGAAGCTGAAGGAGCATCATAAGTTTTAGAGTAGTTTAAGATACATGGTGGGACACCCTCACACACACACCAATAAAACCTGCATGGTAGCACAAAGTTCATATAAAGATCAAGAGGAATGTCAAAAGAAATTACATTCTGGAATAACACCCTACAATCATATTAACAGCCTACAATCATATACAACTTACTGATTATAAAAAACATTCCAACAAATCCCTCCTGGGAAAACATGTGTCATGTAAATTACATATTTGATAAATGTCTTGCTAAGCACAATCTCTTAGGAGTAGCCATTTCTATAGAAATAGGAAGAACTTCAATGGGAAGCCTCAAAAACCTTGAAGAATTCAGCCAATCTTCCACACACAGGTACTCCCTAGACAAACTTCAAAGACTGCGTATTCAGGGATGAGATGAATGGAATGAGTGGTCAGAGAAACATGGAATATGCAACAGAACTCCGCTAGATATCATAATGTCTTAAACACGTTACTAATGAGGCCAAAAACAGTAACAAACTATTATTCCAATATTGATACTACTGAAATGTGCACACATCAACACTGTTTTTAAAGTATATGTTTTTTAAATAATGTGAAAGAATGCATAATCCTAAGTAACATTCAAATTTTTCTTTATAGAAACTGAATAAACTCTCTTTCCTCTATTTGGACCACAATGATCTGGAATCTGTGCCTCCTAATTTACCAGAAAGTCTACGTGTAATTCACCTTCAGGTACAACTGGTTTTTACACAATAACTAGCTTTAGAAAACTACGGGGCCATTTTTATTACTCATTAAGAAATTTATTCATTTATATGTCAATTATGGTTACGTCACTAAAGCAGTGTGATCACTTAATGCCTTTATAAGAACTGCAGTTCCACTCAAAGTAGACCAATCTAGGAAGTATAAAGTCTGCTCTTTTGGTTTTTATTTTTTTCTCAATGATTTACTCATTTCATGTGCATTGGTGCTTTGTCTGCATGTATGTCTATGTGTGGATATCAGGGTCCCTGGAACTGGAGTTACTGACATCTATAAGCTGCCATATGGGTACTGAAAATTGAAGCCTGGTCCTGAGGAAGAGCTGCTGAGTCATCACTCCAGCCTGCAAAGTCTGTTCTTAAGCAGAATACATCTTTGGGCACCTTCTAGTCAGTCTATTGTGGCTTTAGGTAGTGCTGGGGACTGAATACAGGGCCTCACACACAGCAGGCAGGTGTTCTAGTACTGAGTATTTAATTTAAAATTTTCTTTCTTTATGGCATTCTTTAGCTCCTTATTTCTCAGGCTGAAACTGACTGGGGTGAGGAAAGGATGGGCATCAGGCAGTCACTGTTACTGTCTACATAATTGGGACCCTGAGATTTTAGGTAGATGTTGGAGGCAAAACCATAGAGTATGATCACAAGGCCATGTGGTCACATTAAATTCAAGAGAAGTGAATGTTTTTTTTTGTGACACCACCTGTGACATACAATGTGTGGTGTTTTTTAAATACTAACCAATTGTCCTGCACCAGTTGGGTATTCTAAATTCAGTTCTGATAACAGAGTCTAAGGAGATCCTGTAAGTCCATTCAGTCTAACAACACTGTTTCTACTGCAGGTACAGTCCAAAGCATGTATTTGTTTGTCTCTTATCCTATATTGCAGTTTTTCTAGAGTGGTGCTATGAGTTACCTTATTATCATAATTCAAAATTATGAAAGAGGGAAATAAAAAACAACTAAAGATATTCCTAACATTCGAGAATTTCCTAGAAGTTCATTTCTCTATGTCCAAATCTGTGCTGGCTTCCAGGACCAGGATTCCTCTCAGGCCTGGGGAAGGGGAAGAGAAGCAGACTAATGGAGGCTAAATCAACTGGGTAACCTGCCAGCACCTGACACAAGCGCTGTGTATCTCCTAGTTATCCTGAACACACATTTGAAGATCAATGATCTATGCTTTCTTCTCCAAATAGTAGCAAACCCAAAGTTTTGATTTGTGCTACTTTCTCCACTTAGAGGTGAACATGTGCTTTTGGAGACCTTATAGTTTGTTTTATAGGAGAGCATCAAGTGGGAATTGCCAAAGTGAGGAAAAAGTGAAAACAAGAAAAAGTTGATTCTCAGCAACACAAGAATTTCAACTTATTCTTTTCCATGTCGTTAAGGAGTCTTTAAGCACACAGTAACATTTTGAGTTAATGCTTTAGAATAGGGTACTCTCGCTAAGCTTGAATGTTTCTGTTTATATTCCAAACAGGATTAAATGGATGCAATTCTGAGTAATGACAAGTAAACTGTTATTCCAAAACAATACTATACACTTAAAAATATGCTCAGGTTGCAAAAGAGGGTGTCATCACCATGAACTAATATTTTTAAAAAATATTTTAAAAGATTACATTATTGGCAAAATATCTTTGTGTGACCCTATTATATAACATACAAAAAGTTGGTTTTAGGATTCTGAATATTTTTCCTTTTTTTCTTCCAGTTTAACAGCATATCTTCAGTTACGGATGACACATTCTGCAAGGCTAATGACACTCGTTATATTCGGGAGCGAATTGAAGAGATTCGCCTGGAAGGAAATCCAATTGCTCTGGGAAAGCATCCAAACAGTTTTATCTGTTTAAAAAGATTACCTATAGGGTCATACTTTTAACCACCATCAATGCAGCTTAAAATCTAAGGTACATGTACCTAATGTCTAAAGGAACATAAGCATTGGCTTAACACTATCATTTTATCTCACTATGATAGAATTCTATGTTTAAACAAAGATGTCCAAAATTCTTATATGTAATTACAAAAATAATCCAGTCTGAATCTCTTAGTTCAAAACAAAATAATGTGAAACTAAACAGCATTAAAAATCTCCTTGTGGTTATACCAGACTGCCATCTAAATAGCATGCTTCTATACAACACTCGCTTGAGAGTCACCATTCCCATGACTAATGAAGGAAGAGAATTCCAAGAAACTTTTAACTGTTTATCTTTTTTAACATTTACTGTATCTCAAAAGCATTTAAGACAGATGTTCCAAAACCTGTGCAAAGCCAAGTGTTCCCAGTGATCTTCCACTGACTGGCTGATCCATCGGCATTCTCCGTAGAGCAGAAACGTCCTTTCTGTTGAGGCAGCTACTTCACTGTATTTCTCACTTAGCCTAAGGAAAGGGGCGCCACATGTAGGCAAACCTTTCCAGAGAAAGTAAAATTTTTCTCTTTGGTACAGAGCCAATTTAGAAAAGTTCAATTTTCTGCTTTGAGTTTACATGGATCGTCTTCAGTCAATTACTTAAAAAAAAACTTTGTAAGAAAAAAAGCAAATTCCTACCCATTTCTCAAAGATTAATGAGGTTCCTTCACTTTAAAAATTCTCAAGTATGAAATAACTGTAAACTTTTTCACAGTATAGGAATTTGTTCAAATATAAGAAATGAAAACAAAGTCTATTCCATTGTGCTGTGTGCAGTTTCACCTGTACCTTTTTACCTGAACAAATTGAATATTCCTAATTCTAGCCCAAGAGCACCATTTCTCAATGGTCATGATTTCCAGATACATGTAATAAGTGAAAACCCAATCTCCAGTCTAATAGTGATAACTGAACAATGCAAACCAAAATAAGCTTCAGAGAAAGGTGCACAGCCCACTCACAAATATTAGTCTATATATTACTTTGGAGTTGAATACAAAATGATCAGTGTTTTAGAAATATTCACCTTTTATATATAAAAGTACCAATCTCATTTCCATTATAAGTTATACATTAGTCTCTACATGATCATCCTAGAACACTCATTGTAAGTGTTTGGTTGTTTTGTTCCAACCCAGACTGACTCCTCTCTCATCTGTTAAGGCTGACCTGAGATGAAACTTTTCACTAACACATCTGTGATCTGTAAGGCCACAACTATTGCTCTAGTAACGTCTACTAGCTTGTTCATTTTTATAAGTTAATTATAGTAACTTTATCCCACTGTATCATTTTGTGAGCATGCCTCATTTTCTGTGACTGAACGCTCACCAAGAGCACAGAACACAGTTCTACTTTTATGACACTTAATGGCATATGTGAGTTAAATATACAATAAACACTGTAAAATCTACTCAAATAGAAAGGTTCTGTTTATGCAGAAAATACAAATTAGTATAATCTTGAATAAATCAACTTAAATAAATCAACAGAAATAAAGCGACAAGATTGAGAATGGACAATGTTTTGGTATGCCTATTAATTTTCTTGCTTTTACAAGAAAAATGTACTCATCTATACATGCATACAAGCACACGTAGTTTGGTATTTTTGAGGTGTATGTTGTTCTGGAGACTGAACACAGTGTCTTATGCATGCTATACAAGTTCACTGACCTATATCCCTAGCCTTCTATATTCTTCGTTTAATAAAATTTCATGAGAAAATACCATAAGCTAATTATAAGATAAAATTTCAAATTAAAATCAATGGCTTAGCTTAAACAATTGGGAGAAAAAACATTGGTAAAAACTATAAATTATAGATTTTACTTAAATAACTTGGGATTCCTAGGTAAGATAATTTGAGTATAGGTAGTCTATATCTTATATTGAAAAATAAAATAAGATCCAGAATGAAGCAAGGAAAAAGTAAAAGTAAAATTACTCTTGACTCCAATTATATAGGTGTTTCATTCTTGACAATTTTAACTCAAGAAAGTCTTAAAATAAAAAAAAAGAAAATTCATACCAGGATTGGAAAAGATATGGTTCAGAGATTAAGAGAACCTACTGCTCTTGCAAAGGACCCAAGTTTGGTTTCAATACCAACAACTCCAGTACCAGGGAATACAATACTCTCCTCCACTGACAATGCACACATGTGGTGTACTTACAAAGTGCAGTAAAACACGTAAGATGAAAATGAGATCTTGAAAAAATTATTTATACCTTACAAATACTGCAAAAACTACCTCCCTCAAAGACATATGTGATGTTTTAAAAAAGAACAGCCCCCATTGGCTCATGCATTTGAATGCTTAGTCACCAGGAAATGAACTGGTGGTTCTAAGAAGGATTAGAAGGTTGGAGGAGGTATGCCACTGGGGTTGGTGATCTTTGAGGTTTCAAAAGCCCATGCCTGGCCCAACATATCTCTCAAAGCTTGTAACAGATGTGAGCTTACAACTACTTCTCTAACACATGCCTGACTGTTGCCATGCTCCCTGTCATGATAATAATGTACTAACCTTCAGAAATGTAAGCAAGTCCCCAACTGAATGCTTTCTTCTGTAAGTTGGTCATGGTGTCTCTTCACAGAAAGAGAACGCTAAGACAATATACATAAAAAAATAGATACCTGTGTTCATGGCCTGGAAATTTCACATTGTTAAGACAACAAATCAGTGAAATCTCCATGAAAGTATCAATGATGTTTTTGCAGGAGCATTAAAAAAAAATCTAGTCTAAAATTTATATAGACTATCTAAAGATCCCATATAAACAAACAAAAAAATCTTGAAAAAGAACCAAGAAAGATGACTCATACTTATTAACTTCAAGACTTTTTATAAAAATACAATAAGAGAAACAATAGTACTGCCATATTTACATACTTATAAGTGATATAAAAATTAAAGTGCCCAGAAATAAATAAATACAAGAAAATAGAACAAAATCATAAGAATTACTTGAGGGACTGCAGTATGGAAACTGACCATGTTTCATTCTGAAGAATGCCTGATGCCTGACAGATTTTATTAACTCAATCAAGTAGAATGAATTTAATATAATTAAATATAATTAATGAGTATAATAATAAAAGAATGGAACTCCAAATACAGGAGGCTCAGTATTAGTCTTTAAAATAATAGCTATACGCTGAAATATGATTTATGCTGATTCATTTAGAACAGGTTTTTGTGTGGTTTTATAGCTGTTAATAACTTAATGTCATGATAATAAGTAGGACGGGAGGGATTAGAGCACAACCAAACAGCTTTTGCTTATGCCCCTAAACATTTTCTACAGCAGTTTTAAAAGTATTTCCCATTAAAACCATTACTTCATAAAAATCAGGCTTCAATATTTATACTCAAGATCTACAATAATCCAGCAGTTCAAAATAGTCCAGCATAGAAATTATAAGCGACCCCAAAAATTCTACCAGAGAAACTTCTACAGCTGTTAAACAACTTCAACAAAGCAGCTGGATATAAAATTAACTCAAGCAAATCAGTAGCTTTCCTTTATACAAATGACAAACAGGCTGAGAAAGAAAATAGGGAAACAACACCCTTCACAATAGTCACAAATATAAAATATCTTGTAACGCTAACCAAACAAGTGAAAGATCTGTATGACAAGAACCTCAAGTCTCTCAAGAAAGAAATTGAAGAAGACCTCTGATTATATTGTTTTATAACAATATATAATAGGGTTTTTGAAACACAGTCTACATAGCCTTGGCTATCCTAGAACTCAATGGAGACCAAATTGGTCTCGAACTCATGCAGATCTGCCTGTTTCTGCCTTATGAGTGTGGGGTTCAAAGGCATGTACTACCACACCCAGCACTATATACTCTTTACACGCATTTTTCTTGTAATTTATGCATTCCTGAAAGGCAGAATTCTCAAAACTAAAATGTACAAGTAAGTTCAACTATAATGAATAGTCAAAATAAGATTATGTATCAATTATTTATTCATTTACATTGAAACTTCTCACCCATTTATTACAAGTGACTGTTAATTTATGAAACCAGTGGTAATATTCTCTATTCTTTGAAATTTAAAGCAAGAAATTGGTGCATGGCTTTAATCTCAGCACTGGGGAGGCAGAGCCAGGTGGATCTCTATGAGTCTGAAGACAGCTTGGTCTGCATAGTTCCAGGAAAGTCAGAGCTACATAGTGAGACACTGTCCAGTAAAAAAAGAAAGAAAGAGGGGGAGGAAGGAAGGGAGGGAGGGAGGGAAGGAGGGAGGGAGGGAGGGAGGGAAGAAAGGAGAGAGGGAGGGAGGGGGGTGAGAGAAAGAGAGAGAGAGAGAGAAAGGAGAGAAAGCTATGACTCACCACAATCAGTACCAGCTCATTTTTTGTATATATTTATATTCAAAGACTTCAGACTTTACCTTGAAATGCTTAAATGTTTTCTCACGATATTTATAACACTCCACAAAAAAATGCAGACTTCGGAAAAACATGGGCAAATCTCTTTTTTCTTCTGCTCTGTTAAGAGTAATATGCTGTGGTTAACAAACAGTATGAATGACAGGCTTACATTACACTTATTTCTTCATTTCTTTCTATTCACTCACTGCTCCTGTTGCTGAAACAATTCATTACAAGCAGATGTTTACTAGAAAAAATAGTAAGATTAAGCCAAGGGTTGATATTCTCAGGAGCCACGTCTCAGTATGGCTTTCTCTCCTTTCTCTCTCTCTCTCTCTCTCTCTCTCTCTCTCTCTCTCTCTCTCTCTCTCTTTCTTCCCCCTCCCTCTCTCTCTCCTTTCCTCCCTCCCTCCCTCCCCCCTTTCTACATACAAATGTGAAACAGGAGCATGTATAAAGCAGTATAAAGATGAACTGGAATAAAACTACAAGTACTGGCATGAATTCATGACTCTATATACACACTTATTCACATATGTATATAAAAGGTCATATGATTTCATGTGTGTGTGCCTAAGTATAAGCACAGATTTCCTATTTCTGTCTCCTGAAAAGGCCAAGAAACAAAACAATCCAATAGCAATGAACACATCTTGTTCCCAACCTTGGTTTCTAATACCAGTCCCAACTAAAACTAAAATCCATGATGGAACAGAAGAAGTTTCATATATTGTAATTTCTGGGAAACTTTTAATATCAAATTATAAGAAAGTGCTTGAAGATATTCAAAGAATAGCATCAATATACAAAGTATCATCTGGCTGCAGGAGCTGGATCTAAAGGATTTTTAGTTGCCAATTTTCAGATATGTTGATCATCAACATAAATAAAAAGATTAAGAAATTATTTAACAGGGTTGGAAAGAATGCTCAGTGGTTAAGGACATTTACTGCTATTTCAGAGGACCCAAGTTCAGTTCCCAACATTTATATCTGGTAGTTTAGAACTACCTAGATGTCCAGTTTTATAGTATTTTTGCCTCTCAGGGTACACACACACACACACACACACACACAAAGAAGAACTTCAAAAGTACTCATCAAAATATGAGAATGATTGACGCAATCCAGACAATACAGAGATATAACACAATATATTTACAAAATAATAGAGACATGTCCCCCAGTTGAGGCAGCAGACTACACACCCTTCTTCAAATTTTTTGACACAGAATTGTTCCTGTCTAAAAGAAATGCAGGAACAAAAATGGAGCAGAGACTGAAAGAAAAGGCCACCTAGTGACTGGCCCAACGTGAGATCCATCCCATGTGTGCACACCAAACCCTGACACTATTACTGGTGCCATATTGTGCTTGCAGACAGGAGCCTGTCATGGCTGTCCTCTGAGAGGTTCTACCCGCAGCTGACTGAGACAGATGTAGATACTTACAGCCATCCATTAGATTGAGGTCAGGGACTCCTATGGAAGAGTTAGGGGAAGGGCTGAAGGAGCTGAAGGGAATGGCAACCCCATTCCCCATAGGAAGAACAACAGTGTCAACTAACCCAGACCCCTCAGAGCTCCCAGAGACTAAGCCAAAAACCAAAGAGCATAGTGGGCTGGTCTGTGGCTCTGGCCACATGTGTAGCAGAGGACTGCTTTTCTGACCTCAGTGGGAAAGGATTTAATCCTGTGGAAACATGATGCCCCAGAGAAGAGGGATGCTGGTGGGGTGAGGTGGGAATGGGTGGTGGGTGGGGGAACACCCTCTCAGAGGTGAGGGAGGCGATCAGGTGAAGAACTCAGGGAGGGGAAACCAGGAAGGGGGACAACTTTTGGAATGTAAATAAACAAAATAATAGGAAAAAAGTAATAGAGATTTGTTTTTCAAGCACAAAACCAAATTCTACTAGAAAATGAAGGGAACATACAAGAGTGAAAAAATTACCATTCTCAGGCAACATTGTGTTATATGTATACACACACAAAAAAGACAAGAAATTAGAAGGTAGAGAGAGTTGAGAAGAGGAAGGGGACAAAAGAAACAATGGATAAAAATGATTGAAATACATTAGGTACACATTCAAAATGTTAAAATGAATTCCATTATGTTTAACTAATATAAAGT